CCCCCCCTTCTTTCCGCCGCGCTGGCAACTCACTCTTCTTCTCCTTCTTCTTCTTCACCGGCTCGGGCTCCTTGGGGTACGCGTCTGCCTCTGCCTTTCTGAACTCTTCATTCTGCTCAAACTCGCGCTGCACGGGCTCGAGCAGCTGGCAGATCGCATCGGCCACGCCCTTCTTGAGGTCTCCGGGGTGCAGTGCCTTGCTGGCAAAGTCGGCCTCGAGGGCGCTGTACTCCTTGTAGTGTGCCGGGCCGCCAAACTTGTCGTCGCGCATGATGGAGAAGAGCGTTCCGGGCGGGGCAGACGCATGCACGCCTGCGGCGCCGCTTGCGCCCGACTCGAAGCGCAGGCGCGCAAGAGGCAGCAGCACGGCCTTTGTGAAGGCCAGCACGCCATTGTCCTCGACGACGCCCTCGACGCACGCCGCGTCCTTGATCTTCTTGCGGATCGCCGAAGGCTCGTCGAGGAAATCGATCTTGGAGCCGGCGTCGGACGAGGACATCTTGGAGCCCTTGAGCCCCGGCACCATGGGGTTCATGAGATGCGAACGCTTGGCGTAGCCCAGCTTGGGCAGCACGGCCTCGGCAAAGGTGAAGATCTTGCGCTGGGGAGGGGGGAGGGGGGCGAAGGGTCGAGGAGGGGCGAGAGAAAGAAAGGGACGGGGCGCAAGGGGGGTGGAGGGGGCGAGAGGCAGTCAGCGGACGGCCTCGTGAGAGACTAGCGTTCTCTCTCTCTCTCTCGAGAGTTGGTAGCGCCACCCAGGACCGCTGTTCTTCTCCCCCCCCCCCTTCTCTCTTTTTTTGTCTCTTCTCTGCTCATTGCTTCTCTCTCCCCTCCCCCCCTGAACCTCGTTGGGGGGGCCAAGACTCACCTGGTCCACGCCGCCAAACTGAAAGTCGACGTCGAGGTACTGCTCGTCGAGGGCCTGCAGGCCGGGGTAGAGGAGGCCACTAAGCAGCGGGCTGGAGACCTGCTTGACGACTTCCGCGCCCGCCTTTTTCGCGTCGTGCTCCGTCGTGCTGGCGGCGAGGCGGTAGGCGTCCATGTTGTACGCCGCGCTCAATTGGAAGCTCGAGCCGACGACGAAGGTGAGCCGCTCGACGGGCACGCCGATCGACTGGAGCACAGTCGTGAGAAGCATGCGGTAGTAGACGACGCGATGACGGACGAGCTCGATGGGCGCCTTGAGATTGTCGAGGAAGGCATGCACGTCTGGGGCGGGGGCAAAGCAGGGCTGACGGCGTGAGCAGGAGAGAGCTTGGAGGGGAGCAGTCTCCCATCGTGAGTTGCCCCCTCCCCCCCCCCCGGCGCTTTCCTCTTTCTTGCGCGCTCTCCTCTCCCTGCTGATCCACGCTTACAAGTACGCGGGGCTGCAGTCCCCTTTGCTTCTCTCTCCCACACTCTCTCCGTCGCAGCCGGCGATGCGGCCCTGCCTGCGCCTCGCTGCTCTCTCTCTTCCCCCTGGCTCGCCCACCTTTGCACCCTCTCTCTCACTCACCGGCCAGCAGCACCTTGACCTCGACGCCCGCCGTGAGAAAGTCTGCAATCTTGGCCAGCGGCACGAGGTAGCCGACGTGCGGGCGGCCCGTGGGCGCCGTGCCCCAGTAAGCACGCACGGGACGCTCCTGCTTGTCGAGCAGCGCACGCAAGGGCTCGGCGCCGAGGACCTCGTGCAGGTCGCGCGTGATGAGCTCGTAGGCCTCGGCGGGCGCCAGCTTCGGCGGGGCGGACATAGCGGTGTGGATTCGTGATGTGGGAGGAATGATGGAACGGGAAGGAAAGGCCGAGTCACGCGCGCGCTGCTTTTTGGCCGGCCGGCCGTGCGCCGGCGGCGGCCATCAGCGCGCATCTCGCCGCACCGCCTGCGCGCCTCGAGCGGCTGTGCCCTCGGCTTCGGCGCTGTCTGCAGCTTGGGCCCGACAACGCGAGCAACGGGAGAAAGGCTGCTGAGTGTGCATACCACGAGATGGCAGGTGCTCCTCCTCAAGGCAAGCTCGCTCGGCTCAGGGCAGGGCATGCTCTGGTGGTGCGCGCCGTGCCCACGCGCAAGCGGGCGAGCCAGCGCGGCACTCTGGTGCGCAACTAGACTGCCCATCTCGAGGCTGACGTCGCCCGCATGCCGCCTTGCTGCTTCCCCCCTCAACGCCATTTCAAAAGGCGCTACAACGTGCTGCCTCGTTTGCGCGCAAGATGGCCAACGCCGGCCTTGCGAAGCTGCGAGGCTGCGAGGCTGCGAGGCTGCGACGTGTGCGGCAGCACGCCCCCGACGCCCTCTTTCTCGCATGCCCCATTCGCGGCCGGTCACTTCGCTCTGCCGCCTGCGCGTGCGCAACAGCTGACTGAGCGCACCACAGGGTAGACCGCTGGCAGATGCTTTTGCTCAGCGAGGTGTGGCATGACGGCCCTTCGTCTCACTCCTCCCGACCGAGCCGCTCTCAGTCCCTCTACACCGTCTTCGCACCGTGGGAGCAAGAGCGTGGGAAACACTGCATTGCACTCGACAAAAAAAAAAAGGCCACCCCTCCCGAAGGAGAGGAGGCCAGAGTCAAAGATGGGAAGCCGCTGCGCACCAGAGGCACGCAGCGGGCGGTGCCGACGCAGTGAAGAGCCAGAGTGGGTCGCTGTGTGCATGCTGGTCGGCTCCGCTCCCGAGCGAGATGCGTGAGCCTCACTCGGAGCTCAAGGTAAGTATGAGGTGTGCAAGGCGGATGCGCGCAGCGCCAGGCTTATGTAGCCCGCCGGTGGGACTACGCCAGGCGAGGTTGGCGAGGCGCGGTGGAGAAGAGGTGCAGCTTCGCCAGATGCGCGACGACAGCGTCGCCGCGCGGTTCCCACGTTGTACGCGTGGACGCGTTGAGTGGCGCGTCAGCGAGTGGAGCAGCGCGAGGCGGCAGCGAGCAGGCCAAGCAACACTTCGCCTGCTGCTGCTTCGCGCACGACCCTCACCACCCTCCACTCTGCGCCTGCCATGGCACGCAACCAGACCATCGGGTGCGTTCCTGCCGTGCTGCCTCGTCTGGTCTCAGTTGCTCACTCCTCCCTGTCCAACAGCAAGTTCTTCGGCGGCAAGGAGGACGTCGCGGCGCCGCCCGACAAGCCCGGCTCGCTCAAGGGCAAGCTGGCCGCCGGCATGGCCGCCGCCGTTGCAGACTCGCAGCCTGCACCCCCTGCTGTGGCCGCAGGCTCGTCGTCGTCTTCGCGCCAGCTGGACAGCGACATGGTCGAGGCTGACCCCAAGGCCGTCATGCAGGCGGCACAGCGCGCCGCCGACGAGCATGCCGTGGCCGCCGAGAAGAAGTTGCCGGAGAAGAAGCACACTGCCTCGCCGCCGAAGCACGCACAGAGCACGCACGGCGACAGCGATGGTGAGTTTTCCGCCAAGTAGCAGCCGCTAGCATGAGAGGGAAGCGGAGTGTCGGCCAGGTCAGGCGCCTGACCGCCGCACCCACTAGATGACGGCCCGGTGCGCAAGAAGAAGCGCGCCGCCATCGCGCCGAGCGACACGTCCGACGACGAGGCGCCGTCGCCGCCGCCGCCGCCGAAGAAGAAGGCGGCACCAGTAGCGGCGCCCAAGGCCTCCAGCTCGAAGCTGCCGGCCCAGTCCGCGGGCAAGCAAACGGCGCCCGAGGTCATCGACGTCGATGAGGCGGAGAGCAGTGCGCCGGAGCACGACGCCGAGGTGGAGGAGGACGACAGCGAGGAGGAGCTGGTGGCGGAGGAGGAGCAGAAGAGTCATAAGAAGATGTGCGTATCGAGTGCGTTTCGGAGCTGCCTCGTGTCGCAGGCTCATCTTGCGCACCCCCCCCCCCCCCCCTGCTAGCGCCGCCATCTTCCTCAAGCCCGAGGCGTCGCAGAACACCAAAGTCAAGTGGGAGGCCGGCAAGCCGTGCGTGGCTTGGCTCGTGTCATGATGGTCACGCGCGACTGACGGCCTTGCTCTCGCCAGTGTGCCGTACGCGGCACTGTCGCACGCCTTTGTCGAGATTGAGGCGACGACGAAGCGGCTGATCATCCTGGAGATCCTGACCAAGCTCTTTGTGCGCATCATTGAGCTCTCGCCCTCGAATCTGCTGCCTGCCGTGTATCTCTGCATCAATCGCGTGAGTTTGGGGGCGACAGTCAAAGGCATATGCTTGCTGTGCTGCGCTGATGACGCTCGTCGGGCAGCTGTGTCCGGACTACGAAGGCCTCGAGCTGGGCATTGGCGAGGGCATCTTGCTCAAGGCCATCGCCCAGGGCACGGGCCGCGACATGAAGACGGTCAAGAAGGATCTGGAGGCCAAGGGTGATCTTGGTCTGGTCGCCATCGTGAGTTGCGTCATGCGCCGCGCGCGACTCTGCACAGGCAGCGCTGATGCACACACACACCGCCGCAAATGACCAGGGCTCGCGCCAGAAGCAGCCGACGATGTTCAAGGCGCCCGCGCTCACCGTGCCGGCCGTGTTCAAGCAGCTCAAGGAGATTGCGGCCATGACGGGCAGCAAGAGCCAGGAGCGCAAGATGGGCGGCATCAAGAAGCTGCTCGCCGCCAGCGTCGACGAGGAGCCAAAGTACATCATGCGCTCCCTCGAGGGCAAGCTGCGCATCGGCCTGGCCGAACGCACGGTGCTCGTGGCGCTCGCGCAGAGCATCGTCATCACTGGCGCCAAGAAGGGTGCGTGCGAAACAGGGCCAAAGCAGTGTTAGCCTCTGCAGCTGACGAGCCCGCTTGGCGCACAGGCAAGAGGCTCAGTCCCGAGGCGATGAGCGAGGAGATTGCGCGCGGAACAGAGGTGCTCAAGGCCGTCTTCAGGTGAGGCACGGCGGGCTGCGCGCTGCATGGCGCTCTGCTGATGCGACCGCGATGCAGCGAGATCCCCAACTACGACATGGTCGTGCCGGCGCTGCTCGAGTCGGGCATCGACGGCTGCCGGCAGAAGTGCAAGCTGACGCCGGGTGTGTGTTAGGGATCTGCGCCACGCTCCGAGCTCCGTGCTGCGTGTGACTCACGCCCTCTTTCCTTTGCCCTAGGCATTCCGCTCAAGCCGATGCTGGCCAAGCCGACCAAGGCCATCACCGAGGTGCTGGACCGCTTCGAGGACAAGGCCTTTACGTGCGAGTACAAGTACGACGGCGAGCGTGCGCAGGTGCACTACTTTGTGCCTGCGGGCGCCCAGGCGGGCAGCAAGGCGCAGCTGGCCGTGTTCAGCCGCAACTCGGAGAACATGAGTCTCAAGTATCCCGACCTCGTCGAGCAGGTGCCGCGCTGCATCCACGCCGACGTGCAGAGCTTCGTCTTTGACGCCGAGGTGACGGCATGGAAGAAGGCCGAGCCGCAGGCCGACGGCAGTGTGCTCGCCGCGCGCCTGCTGCCGTTCCAGGAGCTGAGTCGCCGCAAGCGCAAAGACGTCAAGGCCGAGGACATTACCGTCAAGGTCAAGCTGTTCGCCTTTGATCTGCTCTACCTCAACGGCCAGCCGCTGCTGCACATGGATCTCGCCGAGCGCCGCAAGCTGCTGCACGCCAGCTTCCACGCCGTGCCCGACGAGTTTGACTTTGCCACGAGCCAGGACTGCACGACGACGGAGGAGATCCAGGCCTTCCTGGACGTCAGCGTCCAGTCGGGCTGCGAGGGCCTGATGGTCAAGATGCTGCAGGGCCGCGAGGCGACGTACGAGCCGAGCCGCCGCAGTCTCAACTGGCTCAAGCTCAAGAAGGACTACCTCGCCGGCACGGGCGACAGCCTCGACCTCGTCGTCATTGGCGGCTACTACGGCAAGGGCAAGCGCACCAATGTCTACGGCGCCTTCCTCCTCGCATGCTACGACGCCGACTCGGAGAGCTACCAGAGCGTGTGCAAGGTGAGAGAGAGGCTGGGCCTCGGCTGGGGCGCCCGATGTGAAAGGTGGGAGGGCGCCACGCTGATGAGACTTACACTTACTTTTTTTCGCGGCAGATCGGCACGGGCTTCACGGAGTGCGTATATCTGCAGGAGGGGGGCCCAGTTGCGCCCGTGTGGTGCCTTTTCCCTTCCTGCTGACGCCGCTTTGCCCCCACCCTTCTTCCTACTTGCGTGCGTGCGCGCAGGGAGATGCTCGAGGCGCACTACAACACGCTCAAGCCGCTCGAGCTGCAGAGCAAGAAGGCCTACTACGACGTCGGCGAGGCCAAGCCCGACGTGTACTTCGAGTCGCGCGTCGTCTGGGAGGTGCGTTGGCCTCTCTCGGAACCAACGCCACATCGCTTGCGCTGGCCAGAGGATTGACGTACACACACACACAGGTCCTCACCGCCGATCTCTCGCTCAGGTGTGTGTTTTCTCATGCCGAGCATGGGTCCGTTTGCAGTAAGAGGCGCTGCCCCCGCTGACACAGGCACGCTCGCCCTCCCTCCGACGACAGCCCTGTCTACACGGCCGCGAAAGGCATGTGCGACGCGCAGCGCGGCATCTCGCTGCGCTTCCCGCGCTTCCTGCGCATCCGCGACGACAAGGATCCGGACGACTCGACGGCGCCGGAGCAGGTGAGTTGGGCAGCCAGCAGCTCCCCTCCACCCATCCACACGCGTTGGCGCCGCCCGCACCCTCCATCACTCGCGCTCGCTCTCTCTCTCTCTCTCTCTCTCTCGTGC